CCATGTGGTCAAAAGATGGCAACACCCATGTCAATACAAGATGGCTACCACAAGATGGCCAGCAGAGGAGGGCAGTTGGGGGCGATCGGGCAGGCAGGGGAGCAGTTAGGCATCGATCAGGCTGGCAGGGGAGTGGTTAGGGAGTGATCAGTCTGGCAGGCAGAAGCGGTTAGAGGCAATCAGGCAGGCAGGTGAGCGGTTGGGAGCCAGAAGTCCAGGATTGTGAGAGGGATGTCTGCCTGCCGGTTTAGGTCCGAGGGGTCCCACCATTGGAGACTGTAGGCTGGGCTGAGGGACACCCCCCCCCCCAGTGCATGAATTTCATGCACTGAGCCTCTAGTATATAGTAGTGTGTGCAACCTATAATTGAAAACTAAAAAATAATTTGAAAAATAATAAAAATAAAGTAAAATTGAAAAGAAAAACTATATATTAATATTTATGGGGAGAAACCAGGATGGCGGCATAGGTAAACACCAGAAATTGCTGCCTCCCACAACAAATTCAAAAATACAACTAAAAGACAAAACAGACATCATCCAGAACTACAGGAAGGCTGGCTGAGTGGAAATTCTACAACTAGAAGGAAAGAGAAAAGCACATTGAGACTCAGAGGAGCTGTGGAGGTGGAGTGCAGAGGTACGGAGGCGACGTGGCAAGGGCTGGTGACTGAGGATGCGGCTGTCTTTTTGAATCAGGAGGAAGTCACAAGCCCCCAACTGCTCTGAACTCCGGTTCCAGGAAGTCTCTGGGGACCCGGACTCGTGCAGGGAGAGACTGGACAGTCTGGCAGCAGGCAGAACTTAGAACTCGAGGGCGGCTTTCTCTCAGAGGTGCTTGTAGCAATTACCAGGACACTGAGATGCGGGGCCCCTTAGGGCAGGGCTGAGGATCAGCCATAGCTGCTTGCTCCGCCCTGTTGATCCCCTGAGACCCCGCCCCACCCAAGCTGTGTGCAGAGACTTTTGCATATGAATGCTCTGGCCCTTTGCAATCTGAAAATTACCTAACAAACTTCAGCTGGGCCAGAGAGATACAGAACTTCCAAAACAAGGCCCAAGGCCCCACAGCAGTTTGCATTGCTTCACAGCTGGGCCTCATCTGGGAACCTCTAAACCCCAAACAAGGAAGGGGAATCTGCAGATCTCTCCATAGCTCCTCCTGGGTAGCCTCAGGCAGAGGCTAAATTAGGCCCTCCTTAGAGATCCAAGAGCCAGTGTACCCAGTGGTCAGAGTGGGACCATCCAGATTACATCTCCTCAGATCCATAAGGGACACACTCAGAGGGAAGACTCAGTGAGCACCAAAACCCCACTGAAGCAAGTCTAGCCCCATAAGGGTGTCTTCAGCACAGAAGTTTTCCCACTGTAGACACAGCTGATTCTCACAGTCAATTGGCCTGGAGGTCAATTCCTCCCAGTGATGCCTACAACAATCAAGGCTTAACTACAACAAGACTGTGCACAAAGCTCACAAAGGGGTGCACCAAGAGTGTCCACCTCAGGTAATTGGGGAGGCTGAGCCACTGGGCCCGATAGGACACCTAGCACACAAAGCCACTCTACTAACACAGGGAAGCATAAAAAATGTGGAGACAAAGAAACAGGACACAAATGACAGAAATGGAGGAAAGCAAACTACTGGATATAGAGTTCAAAACCACACTTTTAAGGTTTTTCAAGAACTTTCTAGAAACTGCCAATAAATTTAGTAAGACCCTCAAAAAGTCTGGTGAGACCGCCGGTAAATGTAGTGAGACCCTCAAGAAATCTAGTGAGACCCTCGAGGTTATGAAAAAGGACCAACTAGAAATTAAGCATACACTGACTGAAATAAAGGATATTATACAGAGTTCCAACAGCAGACTACAAGATCGCAAGAATCAAGTCAAAGATTTGAAATATGAAGAAGCAAAAAACACCGAACTGGAAAAGCAAAATGAAAAAAAGAATCCAAAAATACAAAGATAGCGTAAGGAGCCTCTGGGACAGCTTCAAGCCAAACCAACATCCGAATTATAGGGGTGCCAGAAGAAGAGAGAGAGCAAGATATTGAAAACCTATTTCAAGAAATAATTACAGAAAACTTCCCCTACCTGGTGAAAGAAATACACTTACAAGTCCAGGAAGCGCAGACAACCCCAAACAAAAGGAATCCAAATAGGACCACACCAAGACACATCATAATTAAAATGCCAAGGGCAAAAGACAAAGAGAGAATCTTAAAAGCATCAAGAGAAAGACAGTCAGTTACCTACAAGGGAGTACCCATACGACTGTCAACTGACTTCTCAACACAAACTTTGCAGGCCAGAAGGGAGTGGCAAGAAATATTCAAAGTGATGAATGCCAAGAACCTACAACCAAGATTACTTTATCCAGCAAAGCTATCATTCAGAATTGAAGGTCAGATAAAGAGCTTCACAGATAAGGAGAAGCTAAAGGAGTTCATCACCACCAAACCAGTATTATATGAAATGCTGAAAGGTATCCTTTAAGAAGAGGAAGAAGAAGAAAAAGGTAAAGATACAAATTATGAACAACAAATCCACATCTATCAACAAGTGAATCTAAAAATCAAGTGAATAAAAAATCTGATGAACAGAGTAAATGGTGAATATAATAGAACCAGGGGCATAGAAGGAGAGTGGACTGACTATTCTTGGTAGGGGGGAAGGGG